ACAGCTGTGCTCTCCGTCTCGTCCTTTGAATCTTTCTTATTCGGTTTCATGTGGGAAAAAGAGCGCTAAAGCATCATCGTCGAACACTTTACTCAGTGTAGTGGGACGCAGTGTGGTATATAAAAAACGTAATATCACAAACAGCTGTAAAGCTATAGCCAAAAGAGAACAGTGGTGCGTTAGAGGATTGGAAAATAACTTGATCATCTGGCAGCGAGCACGCTGAGCCAAGTCGACTCGCGATCAGATATGATGTACTACAGGCTGAGGACTGAGGAGCCTTTGATAGATCATTCAGTGCCTCGGTACGCTGACAGGCCCCTTCAGTGGAAGTACTAGAAAACAAGCACGTGCAGATCTGCCAGAAGCAAATATTAGCACGCTAACGTGCTAAACCGAGACAAGGTTAACATTACTTTGCATCGGTGTGTTAACATCAGACTTGTTGAGATGTTTGTACGCAAAGGTTTTCATTAAGCTCAGAGAGAAAGAGAATTGTTACTAAAATTTGTCCTGTTAAGATAAAAAACAACTGTATGGATTAAATCATAAATAACACTTGCTGAATTTATAACATAAGGAAAAGTCTTCAGCTGTAAGTAATAGTCGGAAAATTGCACTGAACAATTTCAGGTTTGATGTTCTTGATGTCATCCAGATGGAGTTATTTTTGTACGATCAACCAAAAACGGTAGAATGTATAATTGTAGCGCAAGAAAGCAAACTGCCCTGTGCGACAGGCACAAACTAATGGCTTGGCAACGTTACCATAACCTCTTGGAAGATTATGGAGTTTAGAAAAATGGAAAGGAGAAGAAACCACGGATGGGTTTATCCTTGAGGTTGCTGCTCCTACATGAACATGAACGTGTGCTGCTGAGCATCATGAACTCGAAAACTCACAGGACAACGTCAGGATCGTGCAATCCTTTACGTTAATGTTCTCATGAATGACAACAAAATGAGAATCCACGCTTTCATCAGTTGGGACCCGAACCCGCAATGAGCTTCCCTTCTTTGCAGAGATGTGCGTCTCTGAGCTGAGGGGAAGCATTCATTAGAGCACTTGCACCACCCACGTGCAGTTTACCGACCCCTCGACCTCACATTAACTATGTTTGCAGGCCGTGTCATGAGTGTGTGTGTGTGTGTGTGTTTGTCTGTGCATGCATCGAAACCCCGTTTCCACTTCCCCTCGGAAAGTCCTTCCAGACCGTGACAGGGTTTCGAGCTAGCGGGTTGTACGGGTTGAGTGTTGAAGAAGACACCCGTATCTGTTATAAACTCTCTTATGTGACTGTTAAATATAAAAACCTGCCCAGCATAAAAACTGGGAGAAACAGCCAACTTGACTCTATCATAAGGTCCAGAAAAAGATCTATCAACAAAGCAAATGAATGACGATAATATCTTTTGATTAAACCATTTTCAAATGAAGTAAAAAGGTGGAAAACACAGCAACAAGTGGAGGTTTTACAAATGTTTAAGTGCTGGACTATTTCTTGGCCGGGCACAGTGACCTCACGGAGTCCCCCAACAGCTGCATCGGACACATTCAGGCTGCTGGATTCTTCCAGCTCCCATAAGCTGAACTAACAAATATGAGAGTGAAGCTTCACACAAAGTCGTGGCGTGAGTGGGATGGTAGCAACCGCAAGATGTCAGAGGTCCAAGCGTGAAGCGCCACAGGCACAGTTATTTAGGAGAAACCAGACAGCGAGACTTGGTTTCATAAAAATAACATTGTTTATATTTCCTACTCATTCAAAGTCATGATTTGTTTTATCTTCTTCAATTTACAAATTTAACCACATGCTTCAAACTGGGTAATACTGCCAGCGTAATCCAAAAATGAATGGTAATGTACTATATGGGAACCTGTTATTTTGTGTTGCGGATCTCGATGTGAGAGGCCGGGGCGGGCGGGGGGGGGCATGTGGGGGTGAATCCACGAATGGAAGGTGTTGATGCTAATTAATCCAGAGTAATCCTGCAGAGCGATCCCAGTTTGCACTGTTATTCGCCATAAGAAGACAGCTGCTATGACTGCTCACCGGCCAGAAGGACCGTAGACATGCTGAGATGTTATTCTTTGAATACCTCAGTTTGACGAGGTGAGACGGGCAGCCGGGGAGAGCTTTGCAGACACAATGGAACCAGGCCAAAGCGAGTAGAGAGTGTGACCCACTGGCAATAAAACAGACAGGACAAGGTCTGTAGAACATCCAAATATTGTGTCGGCTCCGCCCCTTAACGCAGGATGAAGGCCACATCTTCCCGCTGTGGAGCTGAGAGAGCATCTTTAACGTGCACTACGTGAGTTTTCTTCACAGGATAAATCTAACATTTGGGGTCCCCTGTGTGCACATGACTCATATTCGGCACTAGATGTCCTCATTGGTACGGGGAATTCAGTAAACTTTATCTCATCCTGGAATAATAAAAGAACTAATTAAATAAATCTGTGTGGGTGTGATGTGGTTTCAGGGTCACAGGGAGAGGAGAGGGAGGGGAGGGGGGGGAATCCCTGCCCCTCTATAACGGTAATATTCCATCACACAGTCCTGAAACTACGGCGTCTCTTCCAGTAATAACGTAATCCACGGCGGGCACAGAGCGAGACGTCACACGTATGCTGTCCAGGCTGTTAGACTGTATTTTGGCGGAGTTTGGGCATCCATATTTACTAGTAAAATGGCTGCATGGCTTATGGGATTTTCCTTTTTTTTTGCATACAAAGTGACACAGTTATGAGACATAATTAGATGCATGCGGGGGCGTGTACTCACCTCCCAACACTCGCGCCTGAAATGCCAGCGCGATGCCAGAATGCCAGAATTGACAAACTTCTTTCTAAAAAACTATCCGAAATCTTTACCCAGTTTATAGTTCCATTTCTTTTGATCATTGTCTTCTCTTTTCCTAATAAAATGAGACATGCCAAAAACTCTCATGCACACACACGCAGACCCATCGCTCAGGTTTTCGTTGGACGATGCTGTTACAGACCCATCTAGTGGTCAAACGATATGTTCACTCAGACAGCATTTGAGTCCATACGAAGTTTGAACAGCTTGTTTGTGAAACCAGACCATATATATCTATATAGATATATATAGATAATATTCATTGCCATAGTGGTTTCTAATCTTCTTAAAAAGCACCAAACTTTGCTGCTGCTCTGAAAAAACAAAACGATGTGCTGCTCAGTTAACTAAGACTTGCCAGGCATCAATAAACACTTTAAGTAGTAAAAATACAGTGTGTGTTCTTGGGCTCCTTTGTCATCATTGTGCCATCCTCGTCTCCACTAGAGGGAGGCAGTTCAGCTCAAGTTCTCCCCAGACACGAGAACCTGCAAGCTGTTAAATCACAGCCTCTTCTCGGGTATCTCTGCACATCTGGATTTCACAGAGTTGTTCCTAAGTGGTGCTGCACGGGGTGACCAGCGGTGCCCATTTCCTCGGCACACTCGACTAGAATTGAGGTCAAAGAATTCAATCTTGGCTTCATTCGACCAGAGAATCTTGTTTTCTTGTTTCTTCCAGGTCTCCGACGAGATGGAGAGGCTTCTGTCTGATTTGTCCATGAAGAGAAGTGGACTGTTGATGGTTACGCGTTTTTTCTACATTCCCAACCCAGGATCTCAGGGGGAGAGCCAGCATCACTCCTCTCCATGAATTGACCGAGCATTAAAATGAGCCCCACCCATTCAATCTGGAATATAAAAGTTAATAATAATATTCTAATATTATTATGTCATCTAATAATGTAATATATATACATATCATTGTGCATAATAATCTCTCTCTGTGACTCTTCTCCTCTCCAGCAGTGAAAACGAGACGACTTCCCACTCCAGTCACAGCGACTGAACATCCATCAGCAGCTTAAAACTCCTCAACAAGCTCTCATCGCCGTGCCCCCGGTGAATCATATCACCTCCCCCGCGTCTCTACTTGCTCCAGTTTGCGTCATCAAATGGACATTTAAAAAAATAATATATACAGTCAGTCAATCTTTTCTCATGGCACCTTTTTTCCCGTTCTTTGGGATTTGTATCGCTGCCATTTGGTGTTTTAGTGTCCTTCTCCTGGAGGAGACAATTACAACCCGGACTGAGAGCCGTCCCATGATGCAAAACACGTAATTAAATCTACAGATTATGCGAAAATTCCAACATGTCCTGTAAATGCTTCTTATGCAATAACACATCTGTATATGCAGCCAAATGCCATTTATGACAATGCATGAGTCACATGGAGCTGATGATGCAGCTGCACTTTTAGGGAGGCAGAACTTTATTGGCAATGCAGTATTATTTTATATTGTTTACTTTCTTTTATTTCTTGAATAAAGGACATCAACCCACCGTTGATTATGTTGATATGTTTGCCGTGGTTGCACATTATAAAAATGATGTGCAAACCAGCACACATTTGGGGCTGATGCTGGTAGTGGTCCTTTGTTGTGTTTGGCGGTATAAATGTTGGGCTGGAAAGAGTCTTTATCTAAACATCACTGCTCCCCATTTCAATCTTAGATTTTCCTCCCAGAGAACCGGAGAGACACATCTTCTCCAACAGATGGAGCCAATCTCCCCCTCCGTCCTCATCACGCGTCAAGCGAATATTCAACATGTATGTCATTGGGAGGGGAAGGGAAGCTGTCATCGTGGACTGCTGCAGACCTGTCTCCTGTTGCAGACCTGTCTCCTGCTGCAGACCTGTCTCCTGCTGCAGACCTGTCTCCTGCTGCAGACCTGTCTCCTGCTGCAGACCTGTCTCCTGTTGAAGACCTGTCTCATGTTGAAGACCTGTGATTAGTTAGATTGTATCTGCATGTTTCAAAGAGCTCCACAGCCAGTTGCTAAAAAAAAGGATGAAGGCTGAACTCTTCCAAGATGCACCTGAATAGGTGAGGGGAGGGAGGGGGCGAGGTGGGTGGGGTGGGGGGTGCAATCCATCCATCTCACAGGGAAACACCTTCCGGGCTTTCAGAAGAGCGCGTCCTTCACTCCCAGCAGCTCAGCCTCCGATGCAATTGAGCCGGGAAGAAGACTTTGTCATCGGGGACTCGACTGCGACCACCGCGGCTCTCCGGTCCGACGGCCGCGCTGGATCTCCGGACAAGATGTGCAGTGAATGTTACGTGAATCAGACGTTTGTGCACGACGATGGGACCGTGAACGAGCACAAGCCGCGGTAAGCCGCCACCGAAGTGACAAACTGAGGAATGACGCCACGACAAACACAGTTAAAAGTACTTCTTAATGACTGTATGTTTTACTGCATTTTAGTATCGCGTTGTTCGGATAGTTTCGGTCCTTTGCGTAAAGATGCTGATTGTATTTGTGTCCGTGTTGTTGTTTCAAAATGCTGCAGAGTTGCATCACATAAAGTAGTTAACCCTTTAGAAAATGTTGTATTGTGATTCTGTTTTTCAATACTTGCTGCTTTTCAACAACAAAAAAAAATACAGAGAGAAGAGAAGACAGATTTGTTTTTCAGGTTACACGCCAGCTGAAACCACAACATGTTCTCGCTTAAATGCCTCAAATGAGCCGAGCTAAACTGCAGTTTTTTTGAGACTGGAGCTCTTTGCCGTTGGCTGATGTTTGGTTTAGTTAGATGGATGAGTTTCACCAAAGCACATGGGAAATAAACCCCTCATCTTTTATGCAATACGTCTGACAGCCTTAATAGAGGACTGGAGAAACGGGCCGACAGTTATGATGAGGAGAGGAGAGAAATTAAGAAAAGGGAGAGTTTAAGGGATTATCACTCCCACTGTAGAGGTTCTATTTTGTTCTTCTTCTTATCTTTTTCTTTAGTGCGTACAAATGACAAAGCGAGTGTCTTCCAACAAGAATATTCCACACCGCTGCAGATTTTAGTTGAATCTTTTTAAGAGCGATCTGTTGTACTCGACTGACAGACGCTGCATCAACAGAATGCACTTAAAATGCATCTTTATTACATGAACATATGTTGGCTGGTTCTACCTTTATTGTCTTCATGGCTTCAGGATCCTGTTTGAACAGCTGCTATTACGGATCAGCAGACTCAGACTAACAATGCAGAGAGTAAAATCATTTTCACTACACACTTTTCTGCACTTCTGCATCAGTCCACCATCTGCACTTTTCAATCCGCTGTCTCCTTTCCTTGCATCCTGTCCCTCAGCATGTCTTCTCCTTCCACCTCCCTCTGGCTTTGCCCCTTTCCCCCCCCTCCTATTCATTTTGCTTCTGCTTCCTTTCTTTTCTCCTCTGCCTCCTCCAGCTCCTCCCCAGCACCCCCCCAGACCAACATCAACACCAGCGGGCTCATCTTGGACATCTCCACGCTGAAGATGGAGCAGCAGGAGAGCGAGGAGGTGCCTCCGCTGCCCCCCCGCTTTCGCTTCAGAGACCTGCTGCTGGGGGACCAGAGCTTCCAGAATGACGACAGGTAGGCAGCTGTGTGGACATGAAGAGCGTCGGCCAGCGCTGTTTGACACCGTCAGACACAAAAACATTGTGTTCTGTTTATTTGGAAGGGGGGAAAAGGGGGAGTGTTGTTGACAGTACAAAAGGAAATAAATTGAAAGGAAAATCTGCAATTTTAACTTAACAAATATATATATATTTTAAAGATTCAGAACAGTAACTCTAACCTTGAAAGGACAAATGGATGATTGCAAATACTGCAACAATGAAGGAACACTTGGCTTTGTGCTACATTACATTATGTGACATTTTCATTTAGCTGACGTCTTTTATCCAGAGTGACTCACAATAAGTGCGTTCAAGAGGGCACAGAGCCAGAACAACAACAACAGTAACATTTCTTCACGAAAGCCAAGCTACTAAGCGCTATAAGTGCCATCGTAAGTGCTAACAAAGTGCTGTATTTGTTTTGCATTTTATGCATATGAGAAATACTCTTTTATTTTGACCAGTGGCACAAATGAATCGACGTGACTTCAGCTCTTTTACTCGCCTCCTTCTGCTCTCGCCCAGGTGCGCATTACCAGATTGCCTCTTTTAAAAAAAAATGTTTATGCCATTACAGTTGACAAATTCTTAAAGTATTATTCAACCTCACTTTTTTGGCATGTCACTGTGCATGGAGTGTTTATCTGGTCTGGTCCTAGTTGTGTTAAAATACACAAGAACATCCAGAAGTACAGTTTGAAGTGTTATGTGGTGTATGAGGTGTTTGCTTTGGATCATGGCAGACTTGGTGGTGCTGTCCATGGTGCTGAAAGACAACACGTTTCTCAATCACTGTGGGGTTTTTGTGAAGGACACTATGTGTGTGTCTGTCTGTGGTGTGTGTGTGTGTGTGTGTGTGTGTGTGTGTGTGTGTGTGTGTGTGTGTGTGTGTGTGTGTGTGTGTGCATGGTGCATGTGTTTGAGGGGGAGAAAGTGAGCTACATTCCCACAAGAATTCATTCAAAACGTTTAAGAGTCTGACTCATTTTTCAGCAACATCACTCCGACCTATTTCTCAATAAGAATTTAAAATGAGATCAGTCCTTTTGTTTTCTACTTTTTCCTCCTCTTTTACCTTCAGTTCTACTCATCCGAGCTCAACAGAGAACATCAGTAACGATCTCCCTTTTTTTTTTTTATATCTGTCTCGTTTCAGATTCAGAACTGTGCCACTGCAAGAATTAGGTGTTTAGTCTTAAAAAAAAGAGTCAAAAAATAACTTGAAAGGGAAAAACACATGTCGTTATATTTTCTGTTACTGCATTTGGTCTGGAAGAGTCTTCAATTCAAACAGTCCAAAGCAGTCACTAAAGCCTCATATTTGTTGTTCCCTTGAGATATTTATCAAGCATGTAGGCTTGAGTTCTGCCAGATGGAATTGTTTGTAATATTTGACACATCTTCTTGACGTGCAAAAACAGCACGCTCTGCCAATGCTTTTCCACCAGACGCGACCTTTCACCGACTGTCCTTGCAACATCCCCTGTTTTCTCCATGATAAAGCTGCATTTTCCGCTCCCACTAAGATGGTTACTCTTTACTTTCTCTGCTGCAAATCGACCTGTCCCCCGTCCCCGGTAGTCGGTGAAGGCTTTTCAGCGATCAGCCTGCAGGCTCGTTTGTCTGTGAACTCCCAAATGTCACCGGTCACATCTCCCGCAGGGCTTATACGTTGTTCTCTTTTCAAAGGCAGGCATGTTGAGAGGAATCCAAAAAATAGATGTGTATACACAGTGTGATCAGACATATTTGAAGTGGAATAGATTTCCTCCTTCAGCCCAGTTCTTTTCTGCATTCTGTCACTTTCAGTCCGATTCAGTTTGTTCACATTTGCTCCTTCTTAAATGTCTAAGTGAAGTGTTCATTAGGTAAACTCAGCGATACATAAATGGGTCCTGCATGAGTGAAAATGTCACATATTTTACAGACAGGAGCGGGGGCACAGCGGTCTTCTCATGTAACTCCGGGTCGAGTGGCTCCTCCAGCGTGGGCGAAGAGGAGTTCAGGTGGAGTGGCCTCTCACGGTACTTTCAAAAAGCACTGACTCGTGGAGGAGGCCGTCTATAAACGGCTACTTCAGACGCTTCAAATTAAGATAAAGACAAACGGGTGGGCGGGACGCAGAAGAGACAGACGGGGGCACATTGTTCTATTTCTTTTTTGTCTGCTTTTTCTGGAGACATTTTTCTCCCCTCATCAGCATCTCATTCTCCTGACAGAGCAGGTCGGTGTTTCTCTCCTCCAGTGTGTCACGGGGGAACGTTTACGGCGTCAGTGTCCGCGGTGCAAATGGAGAGAGGACCATGCTGCTGCAACAGCATCATTCAGGGTTATTCCTGTCATGGCAACGTTGCTGTGGCAACAGGAAAGCAAAAGAGAGAAAGAGAGAGAGATTGTGTACATTTCTAAAAATATTCCAATAAGCACTTCAGTGACCAAAAATAAAAGATGAATTACACACAGATTTGTCCTCGGAAAACAGTGTTGCTTCGTCGCGTCGGCTCGTTTGGATTGTTTTTCCCCCTCCAGAAGTAACTGGCCGACAAACGCAGTGCTGCGTTGTTTTAGAGCTGTGCGGAGGCGCGTTGGTTAAGAAGATTACACTCTGACTGCACGACGCGGCACAATGGATGCGAGAATTATCATCCCGACCTGGGTCACTGCGACCGCGGGGACGTGGAGCCCGGACCCGTCCGGCGGCGACGCCGGGCAGAGGTAGGGCCACATGGAGCCTCTTAAGCCTGCAGTGATGTTGGGGGGTCGTAAAAAATTATTAAAGTTAAATTAAAATATAAAGTTAAATTATTTCAATGCCTTGTTTTCATTTTTCTAACTGTCGTAACTTTTCCGCCCGTTGATACATTGAATACTATTTTTGTCTGTAATTGAAATAATAGATTTTTCATCTGCCAGTAACAATTATTTCCAGGACATTCTGCCTTTTTTTTTACAATTTTCTTCTTGTTTGGCTCTTAAAAGGTCTCAGTGGTGGAAACAATAAGCAACACAACGTTGCTTATTGTTTCCAACCTACAAAAAAAAAGATATCCAGTTTACTAACAAAGAGAAGCTAAATGTCAATTAACATCTTTTTAATTGTTGCTAAAAAGTATTTTTGATTTTTTACCCATTTTGAGAGCAACAGGTTGTTCTCCTCCAGGTGGGGTGATGTAATAAAAACAGGCCTGATCCAGAGCTGCAGGATCGTCCAGTCCAGATCTAATTACTCCCAGAGCGCCTTATCGCCTCAAACGTTGATGTGACACGCAGTATGACTAAGAGGAGCTGATTAAGGGTCATTATTTGTGTGTGTGTGTGTGTGTGTGTGTGTGTGTGTGGGCGGAGGGGAGAGGCACACAGACAGACAGAGAGCCATCGTAGGACCCTCTCGTGTCACAATCAGCCGCCGGGTTGAAGTGCCATCTCTTCCCCGCTGCTGGACAGATGTGCCTGCTGTTCCTCCGTTTCATCTCTCTCTGGTGCAGCTTCACCATCGTCCCCCACGCTCCTTCTTCCTTCTCACTCACACAACCGTTCAGCAATGTGCTGGAACTCGGGATTAGAGCAGTAGGATCACAGCTTCACCAGCTCTCAAACCGTCCTCAAGGTCTTCTAATCTCTCTGATGATTCCACTCGGTAAATTCATTTTTACCGGTGTGCAGAGCTCACTTCTGCAGGCAGTGCTGTGAAGGCTATAATAGGCTTTGGAAAGATGTTCAGTGTGTTGCCAAGCTACCTACTCTATGAGTTGTGCTTATTCTCTCTGACTGAGTCTCCCTACCCACAAGGCAGTTACTCGTGATTGATGTGTATCATTGCCTGCAAATCATGAAGAAAACACCTTTGTTTGTTTGTTATTTTATTTTTCTTTGTCACTTATTTCACAGTTAATTCTGAAATTGCATGATAGGAAATATCCTACGATTTTTAATAGAATTTTATCTTCTACTGGCGTAAAGCCTAATGGGAGATTGTGAGTCCTGCCTGTTGTGTGTGGGTTTGTCTGTCCACAGCTAATCTTGCATCCCGTCGGCCTAATATTCTTTATTACTCGATAATGAGTGTGCGCTCGAGGCCCTCCCAAAATTGAGAAGAGTTCCGTGTCCAACCTGACGTTTTATGTTGGAAATCAAATCAAAGTCAGATAATTACCACACTCTCCTCCGGCAGATGTGTGTTATTATGAATTTTCCGTGTGAAACCTCCTGCATTCAAAAGTGCTCTGAAACACATCTGCACGGCTCCTTCTGTTTGTGCAGCTGATTCTTCTTCCTCTGCTTCTCTTCCCTGCTCAGGGTGCAGGTGGAGTTCTATGTGAATGAGAACACCTTCAAGGAGCGTCTGAAGCTCTTCTTCATCAAAAACCAAAGATCAAGTAAGCGTACGGTGCATTTGGCTTTTGGGAGCATGCGTCCTGCTCAGCGAGCACAGATTCAATTGTAATTCCCACTGTGGCGCAAATACTTATTATTATTTATATTATTATATTTTTGCGCTTTAGGCCTTCGGATTCGTGTGTTCAACTTCTCCCTGAAGCTGCTCACCTGCCTGCTGTACATCATCCGAGTGGTCACAGATAACCCCGGCCAGGCCGCCGGCGCCAGTCCCAGCGCGGGACAGCAAAGCGCTCCCAGTGGCAGCAATAAATGGTTTGCATACAAAATGAAACAATGGCAATAAAGTGCCAGCAAAGTGCAAGGAGATTAGATAGATGCAGCTGTTTTACGTGCTCTTGGAAATGACACAACCATCAATCAACATCTTTAAATCGGTGCATTTTAAGAGTTGGTCCAACAGTAAGCGTTAAACAAATAAAAAGTCAGGAAACATTGAGTTTTAAGTTTAACTTTCTGATGGATGTGAGATCTAATCGACTTCACTATTCCACAGTGTTGACTGCCTGTGGAACGGATCAGTGCAGGACAGAGAAATTAACTGGTAAGCAGCAGAAGGACAATTAGTACTACATGATTATGCATCCTCAATGAGAGCAACATTCAGCTGCAAGGGCTGATAATCCAGTCATCTGCAAGTCTTTTTGTGGCGCTATATATCTCTCGATTTTGGTTAAAAACAACAACACAATAATGCAATTATTGTCTTACAGGGAGTTGATCTTCTGGGTCGACCGAAAGGTTCCTGTCTGGGCCATTCAAGTGAGTCTAAGAACATGAATTCATTTAAACAAGGAAATCTTGTATAATCCAAGGTATAAGAACCTTGGTGATCTAATATTTTAGGAACAGGTGCTTATCAAACGCTGGGTTTGAACATCAGAGGGTTGTTTCTGAAATAGCTGCTCTGCTGTTAACACTCGTGTGCATTATTCGCTGTTTGGGTTTGTGCAGGTGATTGTGGCCATCATTAGTTTCCTGGAGACGATGCTACTGATGTATCTGAGCTACAAGGTAAAACACTAAACAAATACACGCAGACTTTGAGCAATTCAGCGTGTACAATTTGTCACTCACGGACCGCGAGACTGACCATCCACAAGTGGGGTAATTAGCCAAAGTCATTTATCGGGGCTACATCGAGGATAGATCATGATTACACGATCTAGGTGAGGTGATGGATTAAGTGTTCGTGCAGAGTGACAGACTACAATTAGGAGGCTTCGCCGTCTGCAGCGACTCACTGTCTGATGTGAAAGTCTGCATCTTTTCATTCCTTTAAGGGGAACATCTGGGAGCAGATGTTCCAGGTGTCCTTTCTGCTGGAGATGATCAACACAGTTCCCTTCATCATCACGGTAAAACGTTTACCACGGCGGAAAAAACTGTTTAATGTCCCAGAAATTTAGCACATGGCGGTTTTCTCGCTGTGTTTTCAACATCTGTTGAGAGTCAGACTCATCTTAGTCGATGTTTTGTTCAAAGTTAGAAAAAAGACGAGTAATCACATCTTTTAGTTGAGTAAAGTTTGAAAATGTAAAAAAAAAACTGCACGTAAAAGTCTTGCATTTAAGTCTTTACTAAGCACAATAGTATCAACATCAAAGAATATGCTCCCTAGCTCAAATACATTGTAGAACTGGATTGTAATTATTTTAGCTTTAATGGTACAACTTATCTATACTTTATTTGTGGATGTATGGAGTTAATTATTAATCCGAGCCTGTAAATAAAAGTAAATAAAGTTATTAAATAAATGTACTTGAGTAAAAATGAATTATTCCCCCTGAGAAGCAAAACTACCTCATGTAATACTGTGCAGAGTAAGTACTTCAACTGTAACTGTAATAACTGTAATAATAAGTAATTAAATAATAAGTAATTGGCACTTTCAAAAATGACTCACACAATAAATGTGATAAACACACATTTTAGCTGCTGAGCTTGTTGGTATTGTGACTGTGAGACGGCATTTAACATCCGAGCCGCGACTCTTTTCACAGATTTACCATATTTGCCGTTTTTAATCCGTGAGCGTATAAACGAAACAACACGTATGAGCCAGTGTGTCTCACTTTCTCCGCAGATCTTCTGGCCCTCGATAAGAAACATCTTCATTCCCGTGTTTCTCAACTGCTGGCTAGCCAAGTGTGCTTTGGAGAACATGATCGTGAGTGAAACGCATTCGCTCTAATTGTTTCTGTTAATGGCTCATTTTTCCATCAACATTTTAATTGACTCTGTAAAGGCGAGACACTTGATGCATCGCTCTGCTGCTCTGGTTCTGCTCCGACTGTGGGCTCCCTGGAGGTTTTCCACTGCGCGATTATCTGCAAGCCTTTGTGCATTTCATCACGTTGTTGGGATGGTTGTTGTTTTCCGGTAGAATGACGTCCACAGAGCAATCCAGAGGACCAACTCAGCAATGTTCAACCAGGTCCTGATTCTCATCTGCACCCTGCTGTGCCTGGTCTTCACCGGGTGGGTTTTATGATGCGTATAGCACCAGAAATGCAACATGAAAAAATGTTTGTGACCGTTTTAATTTCAGGTCCAAGAATTCCCTTGAAGGAATTGTGTATTTGTGTACCTGTGTTACAAATGCTTAGCGGGCGGAAACTCGAGGTGGGTTGGACGGGGATTTCTCTGATTTTGAATTAATAATGAACACATTTTCAGTTGGGTTTAAAAGGGTTCTTTATAGGAAATTCCTCTTGAAAACAATGATATTGAACAGATAAGTTCAAAACAAAAGCTGGAAAATCAGCAGTTAAAAATAAAATATACAAACAAAAGAAAGAAAAGTAAAAGTAATTATATTTAGGATTGTAAGCAAAGCAAGTTGGATCACGATCATTTTATTTTTATTGCAAAATATAGCAAATAGTAAGCTTTGAAATTATTTTTCAAACAGATTGGAAATTAATTTTAAAAAATGTATAATTTTTATTATAATTATAAAAAAAAATTCTTATGCAATTGACTTTAATTGATCAAACAACGGTATTATAAATGGGTACATTCATCTCCCATTTTGAATAATTAAAACTGCGCTCTACGGTAATAAACCTAACCCGCTCTGCAGCACGTGCGGCATCCAGCACCTGGAACGAGCCGGCAAAAACCTCTCGCTCTTCAACGCCTTCTACTTCTGCATCGTCACCTTCTCCACCGTCGGCTTCGGGGACGTCACCCCCCGCATTTGGCCCTCCCAGCTGCTGGTGGTCATCATGATATGCGTCGCTCTGGTGGTGCTGCCCCTGCAGGTGGGAAGAAGCTGAAGTGTTCTTTGTGACCGTCTGAATGTTTCATTGCGTTTCGGTTTGCTTTGTGTGTGTCAGTTCGAGGAGCTGATGTACTTGTGGATGGAGAGACAGAAATCCGGAGGGAATTACAGCCGCCACAGAGCGCAGACGGAGAAACACGTGGTGCTCTGTGTGAGCGCACTGAAGATAGACCTGCTCATGGATTTTCTCAACGAATTCTATGCCCACCCCAGACTGCAGGTATAAACAAAGATGTGTTGCGTATTAGTGTGCGTAGAGGATGTGATTACGTATAACTGCGCATTCCACAGTGGTTACTAAAGTGGTTCTGGTGTCGTCCTGAAGGATTACTATGTGGTGATCCTGTGCCCAAGTGAAATGGACCTCCAGGTGCGCAGAGTGTTGCAGATCCCTCTTTGGTCTCAGAGGGTCATCTATCTGCAGGGCTCTGTCCTCAAAGACCAGGATCTGCTCAGAGCCAAGTAAGTGACACTTTGGGTCGGGCCACCACTGTTGTCCATACCGAAGAAAATAAACAGTGTATATACAGCAAACCCCAGGTATATATATATATATATATAAAGCTCAGCTAGACCCTGAACATCTTTTGTCACGCGGGTTACGAGTTAACACTGAATCGTTGAGTCACTGAAGCTCAAAGTGATGCTGATGTGCTTGTTCACACACTAATCTGCCTAATTGCGCTAATTAAAGGTGAAACCGGTCATCTTGTTTTAATATTTCTGTTATCAAAAGCCCTACCGAATGGATTACAGATCTCAGTGATTGACCCTGAGCGGGTCGGATGGGAGGTGCTAACGTAAGTGCAGAATTGATTGATATTTGCGATGCTTCATGAAAATAAAGACGGGGTTGTGGATCACGTGGACCTGCACTAGCTGTATATAGCTTTGTCTCCGATCGAATTGCCTCTACTGGAGGCTAACATGTTAGGCAGGTACACATTTATTCCCTCAAACTATCAGCAGGACGTAAATCTCTTTTGTTTTTTCAGTCCAAATCAAATCAAATCCAAAAGTCGCCCCAAATATTCCCTCTGTCCTTTCCGAGCCAATTGGCTTGTCAGAGAAATCGTGTCACCTCATACCGAAAGAACATTGTAATTATTCCCTCAAGCTGTGCTAATTTCTCTCAGAGACTGACTGAAAGTCAGGATGTCTCTGCCTCTCCTGCTTTACTTTAACAAATAAATATATTTCAGTTTTTTAAGAGAAAACAGAATGTCAAAGACACACCAGTTGTACCACAGTGTATAAAAACCCCTCACAACCAAACAACAAAGTATTACTTTGGTGAAATCGGTTGTGTAACTGGACACGTTTGCCAGGGCTGGAATAGAGCGACTGTGTGTGTGTGTGTGTGTGTGTGTGTGTGTGTGTGTGTGTGTGTGTCGCGCTCACATCCTGCATCTGCCACTGTTCCAGATCCTCCCACACTTGTTCTGCGTGCTCTCCTGTGTGTGTCGATCATATGCAGAAACAGCTCCCCACTTACGGCACATGCACTTTGCAGAGCACTTCACATTGCTCTTTGTGCGTTTGTTCTATATGCAGATATCTATGAATGAAATTTAAACCTCTGATCCCTTCTGGGGGGTTTTGAAGTTGAGTCATTTGCCTTTATTTTTCATGCATTTTAAACCTGTTCTATTATTGGTCCACTTTTCCCGCTGTGGCAGAATGGATGACGCAGAGGCTTGTTTCATTCTAAGCAGTCGCAACGAGGTGGATCGAATGGCTGCGGTGAGAAGAGCGACAATTAATGAACTCGATGGCAAAACTCTCCACCAATCATGAGTTGTCATTCAGCTGTCAGTCAGTCACTCATTAATGCCGTCCGTCATGGAGACAATTACCAACTAATTAAAGGAGATTACGTTGAAAACGCAAGAGTGGAATTACATTATGTTTGACGGTTTTCCCACAGGACCATCAGACCATCCTGAGGGCCTGGGCCGTGAAGGACTTTGCTCCAAATTGTCCCCTTTACGTCCAGATACTCAAACCGGAAAATAAGTTCCATGTGAAATTTGCAGGTGGGAGTTTTTCTAGACTTTGATTGAAACCTTAAGTGGAGCGCTTATTTGGTCTCTGGCGAAGTTGACGCGGTAATAGTGTTGACGCATGTTGCTGAATATATTAAATGGCTGTATTATTTCTAAAAGCTCGTCTGGAGAGCACTGGAGGTTGATACCAGCTGACACCGAGCTCACTCAGCTGCATCTGCTCCACTAAATGATAAAGTTTGGGGAGGAAGAAGAGGCATTAACCTCCCATTCTAACTCCCAGGAAGCAAATAAGCGTATTTACCCCCAAAAATATTCGCTTTAAGATTTCATTTTCCCTTATAAAGCCCCATTCTTGTATAACACAATAGAATCCTTCTTCTTTTCAGATCATGTCGTGTGTGAGGAGGAGTTCAAGTACGCCATGTTGGCTCTCAACTGCGTGTGCCCTGCCACATCCACCCTGGTCACTCTCCTCGTGCACACCTCCCGTGGACGGTCAGTTCTCCTGCACGCACACTTCACAGTAAATGATAAATGACGTGGTGTGGATTGAACTGGCACCGAGGGGTAAATAAGCCTGATCGAAGACAAAAGTCCTGGGCTGGAATCGGCATGAAAAGTATAAAGCCGCCAGGCGGCAAATGGGCTTTTATAGGACTTGCTCTTTGTGAAACAGTGTGTTATGTTATGTTGTTGCTGTTATGGTGGAAATTATTTTTCACAGCATGCAACGGTACCAGTTTAAAAAGCTGATGGCTCCTGCCGCGTTCCCGAAAACTCTTTAGAAAGTGAAGCTTTTTCTATCTCTATTAGAGAAAAAGGGTTTTGAGATTACTCACTTTCATACAAAAGCTGTTCATCAATATGTGTTGCAGAGTGCGTTTGTGTTTGCCTCCCATGTGCGTCCTTGAGTGCACAAAAGAGTTTAGACAATTGACGATAATCAATTGACAACCTGAATAATTATCTGAGGTATTGGAGATGATGCAGGGGACGGACACGTGGGTCAAGATGTCGGCTTTCGCCACAGATCCCATGAGATTTAAGGGCGAGGGCGCAAGACCCCGACAGCTCTGGAGGGACGTGAGGAGAGAGTTATAGAGAGAGAATAATGATGCATTCGGAACATGGTACAATTTTCGGTGGTATGTTGTTGTTTTTTTTAATCTCTTTGTCCTGAATGAACACAGAGAAGGACAGCAGTCCCCGGAGCAGTGGCAGAGGATGTACGGATGTTGCTCTGGCAACGAGGTCTACCACATCCGAGTGTGCGACAGCAAGTTCTTCGGAGAGTACAACGGCAAGAGCTTCACGTACGCCTCTTTTCATGCCCACAAGAAGTGAGTTGACATGTGAGACGAAGCATCTTTTTCAAATGCTGACATGTTGACAATGCACCGAGTCATTTGTCACATATCTCTTCCACTGTTGGTTTGTCTGGTTGATCTCGTATCATCTTGCATAAACAATTGCCGCAGATACGCACAACCTTTCTTTTGGTTCATTCTAACATTTACTTTGTGGAGATAAATGAATGCAAAAAAAAGTTTGATTATCCTCTCGCTGTTTCTGTTTGAAATTATTTCAGCTCACTGTGGCAACATTTGTACAGATTATTGATTCTCCAGACATCACTTCTAGTGTTGCATTTTAATACGTATTGGCTTTCTTGCCAACAGTCTGGTATGTCTGTATGCTCCAGTTTGTTACCACCAACAGCTGGTTAGCTTAGCTTAGCTTAGCGAGAAAGATGTGAAATGGGGAAACAGCTATGGCTCTAACTGAAGGAAACATCTCCTTGCATCACTTCAAAAGCTGGATAAATAACATTTTATCTAATTTGATTTACTTTCTCAAAAATCCAAGTTGTGGTTTTTGTCTGAACATTAACCAAATGGTTACTGAGCCTCCGTTGAGTCTTGAACTGACCTGAGGGAAATATGATGCCAAAATACCTGCGACCACTAAGTATCGCTTGCCAAAGAGAAGGAAACGTAGATCTTGAGATATCTGTCTCACTTTTTCCATAAAACGAAGCTCAATCTCAGCTTTCATGACCCTAAACGTCAAAACACTCCTTCCAGCCTCGAGTATAAATTCCCGGCAATGAAGTGCGACGTTTTTTACCGGCCCGTGAATTAAATGTGCCGTCAGATGTTGTGAAGCTGGTGCTGACGGCGGCTTTGTGACGGGCAGGTACGGCGTGTGTCTGATCGGTATAAAGAGGGAAGACAACAAGAGCATCCTGCTGAACCCCGGCCCGCGCCACATCATGGCCGCCACGGACACCTGCTACTACATCAACATCACCAAGGAGGAGAACTCGGCCTTCATCTTCAACCAGGAGGAGAGCAAGGGCCGCGGCGGCGGGGGCCTCTACGACGGACCCTTGCAGCTCCCTGTGCACAGCATCATCGCAAGCATGGGTGAGCGAGGGATTAACTGGTTTTAACGGGTTGTGGGAAGCGGCCCGGGGGGGTGTGGAGGACTTTGATGGCTTCCTTTATGTGCGGTTCTAATTCACAGGCACGGTTGCCATGGATCTTCACAACACGAGTCCGCCGGACGTCTCGGGCGGTAAACTGGCTCCACCTTCGGTGAACGGAGCGCGGGGCCGCCGGCCGAGCATCGCTCCGGTTCAGGAGATCGCCGACTCGGCCTCAATTCTGCCATGCGACCTCCTCAGTGACCAGTCGGAGGACGACTCTGTGTTCACGGATGAGAAAGGCGACTCGTCGGCCGAGTACGCTTTTCTGTGTCTTTGTTTGTGCGGTACCTTAAAAACCCGCCAAGGATGCGGAGGTTTAAAGTGCTGAATGTTACCTGATTTAAATATTACTCAGCTAAAATTTCAATCCGTTGTGTTAATACCCTGGTTACAAAAAAATGATATTTACATTGAGTCTATATAATAAATTAAAATAGATTATTTGAACTGTAAAGGGATTCAGACTCCTTCTCAAGAAATTACAGTATGTTATATTAATCGGCTCTCAGTTGTAACTGCAATCCGTTCAATTAATTAAAGCTGTTGCATTTCTGGTTGAGCCTAAAATATTTACCTCAATAATTTAATATATGCTAAACCTGCACAATGCTAATTAACAATCTGTACTAAACAATCCTAATCCATTGAGTAATTACACAACATCCTAGAATATTTGACCAAAACTGACATATTTGCTGTTAAAAAATGCTTTTTTCATGCAGGTACGTGAAAGGTTACCCCCCTAACTCGCCCTACATTGGGAGCTCGCCCACCTTGTGCCATCTGTTGGCTGAAAAAGCCCCGTTTTGCTGCCTACGTCTGGACCAGGTGGGCAGTCGCGTTCGTAGTCACTCAAATCCTCATCACTTCCATCCCGCCTCGCTTTGTTTTTCACATCACAGAAAACCGAAAAATAAATAAATAAAATAAGCCCGTTTGGGTTCTTTTTTTTCAGGGTTGCAGGCACAACAGCTTCGTGGACGCCAAAGCGTACGGCTTTAAAAACAAGCTCATCATTGTTTCTGCCGAGACTGCCGGGAACGGCCTTTATAACTTCATAGTGCCTCTGAGAGCTTACTACAGACCCAGGAAGGAACTCAACCCCATCGTCCTGCTGCTGGATAACCCGTGAGTCCACACACACACACACACACACACACACACACACACACGCTCTCATTGAACATTTCACGCTGAGAAACACGACGCTTGCTGAGCGCTCGCGTCAGCCGATCACTTAGGAGAAGCCTGTGGAGGTGGAACCACATTGTCGGTCCCGATGATCCAGGTTCCCGCCGCCGCCGCCGCTCGCAGTGACGGTATGCGCTCGCTGTGGCTGGAGACAGTAACCATAGCAACCGGCTTTGCCTTGAACCGGTGTTACATATATCGCTCGAGGGGGAGAAAAGGATGGAAATGTTTCCTTCGGAGAGCACCGAGCGGGCTTTCATCGACGGCTCCTGACGTGTCCCCTTTCAGCCCCCACATGTGAGCTCATAGAAACACACTCATAACAATAACCCCTCCCCCCCCCCTCTCTCTCTCTCTCTCTCCCTACCTTTGCAAATACAAACACCCACACACTTGGGTAAGCAGCTCAAGCATCACGACAGCCTCGGGTCTCTGGGCAGGTGCATACAGTGCTGTGATATGGGGGGGCTGGTGGGGAGGGACAGGCAGTAATGAAGCAGCAGAATGTTGCTGAGCACGCTCACACGGCCCTCAGCCCCAAAGACACACCACCGAGTGGGGAGCCGAGAGTCGTCAGAGGCCCCCGAGGCCCCCGAGGCCCGGGTGCTTATACTGTCGTACATCAACGCCAAGTAAACAGCCTTTTTGAAGAACCATCAATCAAATGTCAAAACTCACTTAGAAATCGTAGATATTTCATGTGTTTTATGGTACCTTATATTCATGTAGTTTGTTTGTTTCATACCATCCTCCGCAGCAGTTGTGTGTATCCTCGTGTCGCACTAATTCCAGAATACTTGCTTTGACCACGTTTCTGAGAAGCGAGGTCGGGTGACGCCGTGCTCTTTGTTTGACACCAGAAAATACCGCGGGGCGCTACAAAGCGTTTCACCTTGAGGTAATATGAAGAAAATAAAAGCTTGACAACATCCTGGAATTACACAAACACAAAAAAGAAACAATTACATAATGTTGAAATGAACATAAGGCTTTTTACAAGTGGCAAAGTGGCAAAGTTTCTTTTGTGTCGGTAAGAAAACGCTTTTGCTAATATTTTCATACTTGCAAATATTATCTGTGTTGTCATTAATGCTGTTTCCTGTAGGCCAGATAATCACTTCCTGGAGGCCATTTGCTGTTTCCCTATGGTCTACTACATGGCCGGGACCATAGACAAGTAAGTCACCTCTGCTTTTTATTGGGATTGTATTAGTTTTAATACTTTCAAGAGGAGTTTGTGCTTTGAGATTTAATTGGATGTGCAGCATGTTCTAGGCAAAGTGGGGCCTATTGTTGTACTGCTCATTATTTTGTGTGTGTATGTGTGTGTGTGTGTGTGTGTGTGTGTCAGTCTGGACAGCCTCCTGCAGTGTGGCATCATCTACGCTGATAACCTAGTTGTTGTGGACAAAGAGAGCACAATGAGTGCCGAGGAGGACTACATGGCCGATGCCAAAACTATTGTCAACGTACAGACGATGTTCAGGTATTTAATGTGATTTCATTGTCATGTTTATCATTTATTCGTCACCACATGGTCCTTGTTTTCATGACCTAGCTGTGTGCATCTGAGCCTGCATTGGAAAGCTGATTGTGAAAGTGATCTGTGATCTGTGACTCTTCTCTCACTGCAGGTTGTTTCCCAGTCTCAGCATCATCACGGAGCTCACTCATCCATCCAACATGAGATTCATGCAGTTTCGAGCAAAGGACTGCTATTCACTGGCCCTCTCCAAGCTGGAGAAGGTTAGACAGAACCGGAGGACTTGCTTGCATGGAATGAATTAAAAACAAGCCGTTGAAAGGGGACTGAGTTGTTTGCTTTGTGTTTGTGTGTCCCGGCTCTCCACCCGCAGAAAGAGCGCGATAAAGGTTCCAACTTGGCCTTCATGTTTCGCCTGCCCTTCGCTGCGGGGAGAGTGTTCAGCATCAGCATGCTGGACACCCTGCTGTACCAGGTTTGTATGTACGCTCCTCCAGCTACGCACCTGAAACGAGCAGCAGCATGATGCAAAAGTGCCCTCTTGTGTTCAGGCATCGACAGAAAAGACCACCGGAGGTTTCTTAATGTCAACTGTTTTTTGGGGTTCTGAGGTCATAAAAGTGCTTTTGTGTGATTGCATGTCAGTCATTTGTGAAGGACTACATGATCCTCATCGCAAGGCTGCTGCTGGGGCTGGACACCACTCCGGGGTCGGGATTCCTCTGTGCCGTGAGTCAGATGGAAAAGTCGTAAGCCGCGCCAACGCTCCCACGTTTGTCCAGCTAATCGGACACCCGTTCCTCTCACGTTCCAGATGAAGGTGACAGAGGAGGATCTGTGGATCAGTACTTATGGCAGGCTGTTCCAGAAACTCTGCTCCTCTAGTGCCGAGATTCCTATCGGGATCTATCGGACAGAATCTCACGTGTTCCAGACATCGGAGGTGAGACGTCCGAGAGGATGCCGCACATTGCATGACGCGAAATACCCAATGTGTGCGAATCCTGTGGGCAAATTGAATGACGAGTCGATCCAGTAGGTGTCGAGACATTTTACTCAAAACTGCAAATGTCAAGGGGCGGCACGGTGGCGTGGTGGTTAGCACCGTTGCCTCACAGCAAGAAGGTCCTGGGTTGGACTCCGCCCAGTGGCCGTTCTGTGTGGAGTCTGCATGTTCTCCCCGTGTCTGCGTGGGTTCTCTCCGGGTTCTCCGGCTTCCTCCCACAGTCCAAAGACATGCACTGGGGTTCAGGTTGATTGGTGACTCTAAATTGAATGTGAATGGTTCTATGTCTCTGTGTTAGCCCTGCGATTGGCTGGCGACCAATCCAGGGTGTCCAGAAGTTGGCTGCAATGGACTCCAAAGTGACACCAAAGTAATTAGGATTAAACCCCTGGGAACCATGAATATCTGTGCAAAATGTGTTCCCTTCCATTTAGAGGCTGTTCAAATGAAGTCTTGGAACTATAAATCTATTTACTAAACCTTCAGATAGTGTTTAGTATTTAGCCATAAACGTAACCTCCTGTCCCCCGCCGCCCCAGTCACAGGTGTCGGTCAGTGTTGACGAATGCGAGGACACCAAGGACAAAGGGGACGAGTCTCGCAGCAACGACCAATCGGATCACCCGCTGCTGAGGAAGAAGAGCATGCAGTGGGCCCGGCGCCTGAGCAAGAGGAGCGCGAGGTGGCAGGGAGGCAGCCGGGACCCGAGCAAGGACCACGCCCAGCGCATCGCCCAGCAGCGCCTCAACCTCTACCGGCGCTCCGAGAGGGAGGAGCTCTCCGAGCTGGTCCGCAACCGCATGCGGCACCTGGGCCTCCCCACCTCCGGATATGGTGAGGATGGACACATCGCGAGGCCTCTCACGTCTTCCCTCTGCTTAAGAGCTGGTCTGCTTCTTGTTTTTCCAACCGCTGCGTGCAGAAGACCTGACCAATCTGACGGCCAGCGACGTCATGAACAGAGTCAATCTGGGATACCTGCAAGGTAGAGATCTAAACCACGACAAATAACAGATGTCCAGGTGTCCCGCTTTGCTGATTGGGGTGGTGTTTCTGTTTCAGATGAGCAGAACGATCAGCAGAACACGCTGTCCTACGTCCTGATCAACCCTTCTCCCAACACCAGGCTGGAGCTCAACGATGTTGTGTGAGTCGCGTGCACGTGGGCTTGAGTGTTTATTTCTCAGCTCGGTCAGAGCTGAGTCTTATTTCTAGGTGTTCTTGCGTGTGTGTGTGTGTGTGTGTGATGCTTTGCGCGTTTCAGCAGAAAAACAATTATGTTTGATTTTTCACAGTAGATTTAAATAAAAATAAATAGTGAATACTGATAGGTAAACAAAAATCATCCCTTTGTCACTATGATTTTCCCATTAGAATTTAAAATTAATTTAAAGGACCAATGTGTATTAAGTTGCTATTATTATTACATTTTTTCTTTTGTGCATAATCCCTTCAAACTAAGAATTGTTGGGTTTTCGTTAGCTTACAAATAGCTCTCCACACCGGTTCTCTCTGCCATGTTGCTGTTTCTACACAGTTATTTGCAATCTGCAACATTTCTGGCTAGTTGTCATTTGATCTCACAAACCGATCCGTTTAAAAGCTTCATTATTAAATATGCACATAGTACCCAATAGGTGAAATGGCCACGAGTCGCCTGTACAAACAAATAAATGTCACCATAGTCTGCAATTCTCTGCAGAGCTTTAACACGTTTGACCTTTTTCCAGCAGGCAAAGAAAGAAAGCCCTTAAAATAAACTGTACTTAACCATCGTCAGTGAATAGTGAACATTTAGCACTAAAGAACCAAGAGTGATCCTGGAGACACTAAACAAAGCAGAAATTAACAGATTATTCGTGTCTGATGACTCCAAATTGACAGTGATGTTGCTCTTCACACGGTGCTGATATGTCCATGTTTACGACTCGGCCTGTTACCCCCCCCCCCCCCAACCAAAGAACCTACCAATTTTACGGCGTATTATTTTGGAAATAATATACAATTACAAGGGAGCAACATGGGCTCCCATCTGTATCCATGGCAACGTCCGATTCCTGTTTGTGACACAGAGGTTGAGTTGTTGCTGCATCTCCTCTCCTCACCACGCGGGCCTTCGGCAGGGAGCGCAGGAAGGAAGCCTTAGCAACGTGTTGCCTCTCTTACCTCGGCGTCTTTCTCCCTCAGGTACCTGATTCGTTCAGACCCTCTGGCTCACGTCCCGGAGGAGCCCCCCGTCCGCGGAAGCAGCCTGAGAGAGAGACGCGAGTCGAGCACGGACGTCAGAGAGGACACAGAGCTCTGATGGAGTGCTGACCTCAACTGATGCACGCTTTCGTTGTCGGGGGTGGGGGAGGGTCTGTTGTTGCGTCCATGCAGGTCCGGCTTGAAAAAAGGACAATTTGTGCTACAATGTTCCTGCACTGCAGTCCACAGCTGTATTATATGAGTGCCTACTGTCTGGCAGGTGACAATTGAGGTCGTCTGTGACATTTTCGTGTATTCTTTGCAGTGGAAGCTCGCTCAGACGAGCATCACTTTTAGGCGACTGAAGGGATGTGGATCGGGTCCCTGCTGCAGCGGAGACAGTTGTTCGCAGTGGTTGTTCAGTTTCTGCTCTTTTCCGTTTCCGCTCCCTCAGGAGAAGCGCAAGTTAAATATCAAGATTTGCGATTGTGGGAAGCGGACGTTGGCGGCACAGCGTCTATCCATCTTCCCTTGACTTTTTGACACTAATGGAAATCTGCACATATTTGAAAAGGTACAGGGCCATGAACATAACATAATAACATGAAATCAAGTATACATTTCAACACTGGGAGATTAAATATGTTGATTAGAGCTTTCCTTTAAGAATTATTTTCCATAGCTGAGCCATAGACGTGTGTTATTCAGTGGTGTAGATGTCCTAATCAGTAGGTTATGTAAAAACAACAATGGTCACTTATTTGTTTCTCCACTGTATATTTTTGAGGTTTTTGGAATACAAGTGCTTAGTTCAACCCCTTTAATAGGCCGTGCCATATTTTCAGCACTATGCCGTACATAGATTGTTTGATTGTTCGTAATCAGAACACCTCATCTTACTTTCAGCGCTGCTCTGATAAAAAAATGTGCTTTTTAAATCTATATTTGTGGTTGTTTGGACCAAGTTTCTAAAATGCTGAATCCTGTACACAAGGTTTGACTTTGACTGTAAAATAATCCATATTTAAATGTTAAACATATTTGTACTGTTTCATTTTAAAGTATTATATGAGGAATAAAAAGATTGTAACTGTTGCTGTCTTGTAAATCAGCAATAGAATTGCTACTCGTCTGACTGTTAATTTAAAAGAATAGGATTTTGTTAATATCGTTAATAACGGCTTAAACGGCACTCGAGTGGGATGAATAGTTCTGCAGTAATACATACCTGTAAATATTTTAATTACCCATTAAATAATAAGAGAAGTCAAAGGAAAGGAGATGCTGATAGAAAGCAGCAGGTAGAAGCAGAGGGGCAAACGATGGTTTTAGAAAAGAGGAGAGGTGAGTCACATTACCGGTAACTAAAACTGGAGATCAGGTCTAATCGGGTCTAATCGGGTCTAATCGGGTCTAATCGGGCCAGTCGGGTGGAAACACCTGTGTGTGTTTTTTAACGTTGGTGCCCGGAGGGTCAGTGGTGTAAATGACTCCCTATTTGCGATGCGTCTGCACTCTTTGCTTTGTAGTCATTTTTGTTCCCGCTCAGTGATTCGGATCCTTTCAGAAATGTTCCACCGAGTGTCGTGATAAGTGAGCTCTTTTTCCTTAAATCCTAACAAATAAATAAACACCGAAAACTTACCTGCTTAGTGGAGGTAATTATGGCCCAAAGAGAAGTCTGACTGAGGGTGTGATTGTTGTATAGTAATTAATAATAGTAATAATAATTATAGTAATGAACTTCTGACACTTTTATCCACCACATGCAGAGGAATATAAAAAAGGGGAGCGTCTAGGAACAGATGCACGTACTATATATTATGCACATTCATCATAAAACATACCGAGTTGCATTTTATTATCTCTTCAAAATAAATAAACATAAAATACAACACAGTGAAATAATACTCATATCTCCAATGAACCTCAAAATAGTGCCTGCGTTTTAGTAAACATAACTTGTACGTAACGGACAGAAAAGTACTACTAAAAAATGTACAAAAATGCAGCAAACAAATATCAAGTATTGTGCGGTTTGTCCCACATCGCAGCCGCCGCTGACCATCCGTCATTACAGGGGAAGAAGTTATCGCGCGTTGAGCGCCAGCAGCTACATTGAAATCGTACTCCTCACTAGGACCCGGTGATGAGTTAATGAGCAGCAAGCAGCTCGGTGGCAAAGCTCAGTTCGATTTGGTACAGCGACGTTCTCTGGCGGCTCTTTCGGGTGGCGTATGAACTTAATACGATATAATGCACTACTGAAAGGAATAATGCACTAAGTCTGGAAAGCGCTTCATGTCTGGAATACAAGTACAATTCTCCCTTTTGTAAAACTTTCTTTCTCTTCTGTATCAGCAGCACAACGCCTCATAAACAGAACAAAGCAAAAAGTGGTTTGGCTCCACGCTTCCGTTGCCTTCTTTTAAAGCATAATTAAGAGGGTGAGACATTCACATTCAGAGCGGGACGCACTTCCTCAACACAAAGACTCACGCACCCGCAAACACACTCAATAGAAAAACGAGACTGGACATTACCACCCACTAACATCCATCCCATCCTTACATAAAAAAAGTTAGTTCCATCTTTCAAAAAAGCACTGACCAGTCGGAGTCACTAGTGAATAAGGGGGGGCTCCGGGTGTGAAGCCTGGATTGCTCACAGCAGTCGGGTATGTTTTTTGCTGAAATAGCATCATCAGGAGAATGTCCATCACTGCGTGCGGTTGCACTTGTCGTCGATAGAATGCCGGCTACTGTGTCGTAGATCCAGCTGCATTGGACTTGAGGGGTCCGTCTCGTCCTCACTGCTGCGTGAGAATCCGTCCGTCCTCACGTAGCCGCAAATGTAAAGTGTGACATGCAGAATAGAAAGCTAAAGAGACAAAAGAAAATAAACATTCAGACCGACGCCTTCGCCCTTCACAGCGTCTAAACGCCACCCTGTCAGACATGTCAGTCACGTGATCACATGTCCGTCGCCTCGGAGACTATTGGGTCCGGCCCAACAGAAGCAGACGCAACCGAGCGTCCTCCGTCTCACGTCCTCCGTCTCACTTCCTCCGTGCACTCCCCGGCCTCTTGACGTGCCACAGTTGGTTGTGGATGGTCAGGGCGTCCACGCTGACCGACACCGACTTGGCGGGGATGGCGTTGAACTGCTTGCGGTCCGAGCTGTATTTGTAGAGCTTGTCGATCATCTTGCGGCCGATGCAGCGCGGCCCCGTGCCCGTGAACTTGACGATTTCCTCCGTGTCCGGCGAGTACGAGTAGATGCCGCGGAACTGGCACCCGCCGTCGCGGAAGAGGATGATCAGGTGATTGGACTCGCACTTTTCCAGCTCCTGCGTTCAGTGAGGCGAACGTCAACATTTTCCGAATATGGTGAAATACGAATGAAAAATGAACCGCGCGAATAACAGATGAACAATAAATCATCACCAACAGTAAATACATTGAAAATAGATCCCACTGACCTCCAGAATAACATTCTTCTGGGTCTCATTAACCTTCCCAGCCAGGCAGCAGTGAGCGATGGCGTTGATGATGATTGGCTTGTTGGACTTGGAGCTCGGCTCCTTGAAGAGTTTAGGACCTTCAAAAGAACAAAACATTACAATAGGATTAAATGAGATAAATGCACAAAAGGTGTTCAAAGACTGATTTGTGCCGATCTGAGCTTCATGTCTCATGCACACGCAAAGCAGCTAATGTTTTTGTTCAGCGCTCACCGTTGTACTCTGTAGAAGTGATGGACGAGGCTATGGAGGCGTTCTCCCAGTCCCTCTCCAGGTTCCTGCTCGACGCCCTGCTCAGCGTAGGGAACGACTCCATGGAGCACACAGATCCAGCCCTGGAAAGCACACTCACAGGTCAATCAAATGGCCACTTGGGACACACCAGGTGGGAAGAGAATACAACAGGTCACACCTGCGACACTCCGCCCCTCCAGAGATGACGCTGTCGGCCTCAGTCGCCAAGGAGAGCGTTGATCCTCGATGGCTGCAGCTCAGCTCTGCTGAAAAGAATGAAGACCAGTTACTTTTGCTAAACAAAATGACATTGTGTTTTGCTCTTTCCACACCTGTTTTATGGTGTAAATTGTAACAAAAATAGATGTTAGTCAGAATGAATACACGGCCGGCTGCTCAAGCGTTTGTCCCGATAACGATTTATTTGGGCCGTGTAAATACATTTATATCACATCATGCAGAGCAGGTTAGAAGGTTCACCTCCCCTGCAGCCTGCTGCTGAGCCCTGGGCTTTGATCAACATGGACTTCTTCAGAGAATCACCTGCATAACACACATTTACACACTCAGAGGATGACAAACACATGGGCGGCGAACTGAACAGAAGATGCATGCGCAGCCTCCAGACGAACACACCGCACTAAACTGACAACAAACAGTTTGGCGACAACGCGGAGAACTGCACAGGCAGGTCTTCTTACGTGTGGTGGATCCTTTGGAGAGGCTGTTGGACTCGGCGCGATGGAGGGATTTCGGTCTGCTCCGGCGTGATTTAGTGCGTGGGCGGGGCTTGACGAGACCTTGCTCCTCCATCAAGGCTTCTTGCTTCCTCTGCAGGTATTCCTGCTTAATTATCTCTCGCCTCGCCTTCTCCTCCTCCTTGCGAACACGGTCCTCTTCTGCCTTGCGCCTTGAGGTTAGGTGAGACACAATTCAACTGCATGACAAAACCACCCCTCACACACACAGTACCTGCAGACTTCAGGCGCATTCACAGAGTTATCTGCATAACTTTAGATAAAAGGTTCAAACAGCATTATTGGTGCAATTTTGGGAGGTGATGAATGTAATGAATGTGGCTTGGTAAGTATTCTGTACAGCCCAAATAGAGAACCATCCACACAACATAAATAGGCCTGTTTAATATAATAACATCAAATACCCAACTAAATACTTCTTTAACTGGGGGGACAATGTGAGTGTGTGTAAATAAAAGTAAAATACTGAATCGATTGCTTTGAAACACGTGGGGTGATTTCACGAGGGGATAATACTGGTCCCGTGGAAGTATTTATAAATGTGTAACACAGACATACCTGGTCTCGTCACGTTTGAGCTCACTCTCGACTTCGTGATGCTGTTTGCGTAGTCTCGCCTCTTCAGCTTTGCGTTGCTGCCTGAGGAGGAAGGCAGCACGACGTTTTGCCATTTCATCCTCTGCTTTCTCCTCATCCTGGAAGATTAAAAAAGAAAAAAGAATGTGAAATTAGTGATAATGCTTGACGTGAAGGTGCTCTTGATGTTCGCAGGTTGAACAGCTGATCATTTCACCTTAAAGAAGAAACCTATCACACTCTTCTGCTCGCCCTCTGCCGTGCAGTCTGGAACCTCCAGGCTGCCGTCCGCCAGAGGATCCTTGAGCTCCGACAGGTCCACCTCGATCAGCTGACCCTTGACCCTTGCATTCTCATCTCCACCCACGGCATCTTGCCCCGAGTCGGCGGCCGTGTTCTCCTCGTGTTCCGCGGCCCGCGAGGGAGACATCAATGCGCCGTCCGAGGCGCAGCCAGTCCCCTCTCCAGCGCTGCGTTGGTCGGGCTCATCGCGGACTCTGAAGGTGCTGTTTCTCTGAAGGTTTCTCTCCGGTCTGGAGCTCTCAGCGACACTCCTCTCTCCTCTGCCCTCCGGGGATTGAGTGCACGACTTGATAGAAGCCACCTTGCTGTTCTCTTTGCTTTGTCTCGGCTCCGAGGCCTTGGTGCGTTGGCTGGAGCTGAGCTTGGGTGGGCGTCGGGCCGGGGCGACGTTGCTGCCGCTAATATCCACAAAGTGAACCGCAAAAGCTCTGGGGTCTGAGGTAGAGGATGTTGATTCTGCTGTCGTGTCGGGGGTCGGGCTGGAGCTGGATTCCACGTGTTCTTCAGGTGACGCTGCGCGCTTCAGCGGCGGCTCCGGAGGCGACACCGCGTGCTTCACGGGCGGTTCCGGAGACGACACGGCGCGCTTCATCAGCAGGTCTTGCTGGAAGGACAGCTGCATCATCTGCTGCTGGATGGAACTAATAGCTTCATTGAGAAGATCTATGGAGTGGGAACACTCATTCAAGTCCGGTTCCGCCACGTTATCCTGGGACAGCTTGTTGTACCTGCTCATCTGTCCCACCTCAGCTTGACCCGCCGTCGCCTGCACCTTCAGAGCATCGAGACAGGAGTCGTCCCTACATGACAGGGTCTTTATTTTACTCCTGTCGGTGAGCTCTAAGGATTGCTGTGAGTGTTTCAGAGGCAGGGGAAGTGTGTCGCTCTTCCCTCCACCCTTCTTCACGATGTTCAAGAAGGCAGCTTTCCCCAGCTTCAGCCGCTGCCGCGCCGAGAGGGCCTCCATCTTCTTCTTCTGATACTCGATGGCTCGTCTTTGCTCCTCGAGCCGCATGTGAAGCTGCAGCAGCTCTGAAGGCACAACCGGGGGACTCGCCGCCAAACTCTTTCCCAAGACCGAAATAGGCTCCTTTCCTAGCCAGCCGGGGGCGCTGTCGCTCCTCATCTGCCAGGGGGAGCCGGGGGTCACCTCAGACCCGTCTGGTGTGGTCTTCTGGGAACTGCTGGTGCTGGAGAATCCGTCCCGGAGGCCCAGTTTAAGGAGCTTCCTCTCGGCGAAGCTGGTCATCTTGACGCTGGTGCTGCACGTGGCGCTGCAGCTGCTCGCCCACGATGCGGTGCTGAGGCACGGGCTTGAGCGCCCGCTGCCGCTTTCCTTGTCGTCCCGCTCGCTTACCTTCAAGTCTTCCCTCAGTTTGGCCGACTCGCCCTCTCCAAATTCACACACCTCTCCCTCCTCTGAGAACTCTCCCTTTCCCCTCCTCGCGAGTTCTTTGGTCAGCTCCATCAGGTCGTCCTCCTCGTCGTCCTCCTCGAGGTCTGCGATGTCGGAGTCAGAGTCGTGCCCTGCATCCAGCGCAGTGCAGGGAGGAGCGTGGCAGTCGGCATCTCCCGACGAATGGAGGAAAAAGCCCAACGGCTGCTTCCTCTCGGACTGACGCATCCCTGCCGACCCCTCTGTGGGTGGCCTGGTGGAGCTGGTGACTGATTCCGCCACAGGTATGGGGGTAAAGCTGCCTCTGTTTGACCCAGCCGCCTGGGCTTTCCTCTGTGAGGTGCTCGGGGCATTAACGGCGGCTCTCCTAGCAGCTGCGGTCCCTTTACAGCGACTCTCGCCACTCTCCTCCTCCTTGTTCAGGCTGATGCTCTTCTCTTTGGCCGGCTTAGGGATGGAAGGCATCAGGGGTTCCAGATAGTAGCTATCTGCCGGGTGGTCGGCAGGAAAGGGGCCGACGTCGAGGCGGGGAGAGCAACGACTACTGGAAACCCCGGAGGCGGATGTCGCACTTGGGATCTCCAGCTCATCCTGCTCCATGTCACTCCCGAGTCGACATCGAGAAAACACAGATGGGTGGATTACAGCAACGAGTTCCTCCTCTTCTATTTCCTCTTCCTCGTCCTCGATGCGCATGTGACTCAGCAGGCTTTGACCACTTAGCCGGTGTTGAGGCAGTTGAGGTCCCAGCATGTGTTTGGGGGTACTGCTCAGTATATTGGAGGCCAGGCTGTCTTTGCTGATGGAGCGTGCAAGGCTGATACTGTCTGCGTCGTCCTCCAGGGGACAATGCAAAGCGTAGGGCAACTGTTGGGATAAAGGCCTGGGCGGCAGGAGGAGGGGTTAATAGGATTTGTGTAAGCCAAGCATTCATCATCATGAATCACGGAAGTAATCACACAGCTCACCTCTGCCTCCTCTCTGGCCAGGCCAGTATAGAGCCATGGTGCTGGCCATCACGAGTGAGGGAGTTGGACCTATTCCTCAGCACTGCACAGAGAAGATGGGATCAATGTGACAACCGGGACCTCTCGAACATGCAACATTCATTGTGGATGATTTGAACAATCTAAATTATCTGTCTTGATTAAATATAAAACTGCGTCCCAACAATCTGGTCTTAAAATAAATCTTGAAACAGTAAATATCACAATTGAATGCTCACACTACCATCTAATTAAGTACCTTGTTTTTTGGAATAAGTGCATATTCAAGAAAGATAGACACAATTTTTAAAAAAGGAAACTGAGTCTTCTTCCTGCTCCCTACCTGCCCTCTCCCTTTTCTCTGTTGGAAGAATTTACTTTGGGCCTTGAGGCAGAAGACTGCATTGGAAATATGTGTTTGCTATTACCTGAGGTGCTCTCGGCCACCTTCTGCTGTCTCTGTCTCAGCGGCAGTAACGGGTGAGATGGGCTTAGGGAGCCTGGTTTACTGCTGCAAGAAGAGGTTTGGGTTTAGTTTATAAACTCGGTTTGATTTTAGCTTCTCAAATCGATAATGTTGCTTTTCTAAAACACGTCAACAAAAAGTGAGACTGCGCTAGTAGGATTCTATAATTTAAATATCTGGGAATATGCATTTTAATACAGCAGCATGGTATAGTCATGCTGCTGTAAATGTATCGTGGGAAATATTAAAAAGAATAAATCTGTGACTTGAAACTGATACTGGAGTATAGTTGTTACCTGAGGTCGGGACTCGGGCTCGTGGTCAAGAAGTCAGCAGAGTTTGATGATGGCAGGAAACTACGTTTGGTGACGTTGGAGATGGGGACGTGAGATCTTGAAGTCTTGGGCTGTAGCAGCAATCTCACTGCACAAACAATAAAGTAGGTATCAAATATAAGACATAAAACATAATGAGCCTGCGGCAGTTTGATACACTTCAATTACGTGACACCCGTGGGGAATAGTTACTACAGTTGCTCTTATATAAGCGTAAAGAAACATGAAAAATACACGCGCTGAATGGTAAATTATGTACATAATGCTACAATATATATCAAAACAAATGCAAGTAAATACAAGAACAAGAAATCATATATGATAAATAAAAAAATAGGTGCAAAAGTATGCATCAAATGCACACAACATACAACCGTAAATAAGTGAAAATTTGTGTTTTTTTATGACATATATATTAAATTTATACCATCTCTGATTTCATGGAGGTCCCTGGGCTGCACAAAGTCCGGCTTCACAATCTCAAACCACCAGAAGAGCTCAGCAATGAAGACCATGATGTTATTCTGCGAGACACAATGATCCGGGTCAATACAATCCACGACAATGTTCTGTTTTATAACTTTCTGTTGCTGAGGTGTTTTTCGGGCTCACCTTTAGTACTCTCGGAGAGTACAGCAGGTCCTCGGGCTTCAGATAGAAGCATTTGTTCAGGTATTCATGAGAAAACTCTTGTAGTAGCTGGATGTTGTACATACTGTCTGCTATGGAGGGCACATCCTTCAGACAGATATCTGCACAGAACAAGAAAACAAGGGGTTTTTAAATCTACTTCTTATGAGGGAGCTGAAAGGAATATATTTGGCATTTTGGAAAATGAACATGTTCTTCTGCTAACTACTAAACTTCTAAAATAAAACCTCATCTGTGAGGAGTTAATCCATTAATTAGAGTGTTAATAATCTGACTTCAGAGGTGCTAGTAGGCTGATTTGTGTCCCCCTGTTTCTAAGTTCAGCTACTTTATCCTCTGGCTTCATAATATGCGAGCGGTCCAAAGTTACTGTACCTTCCAGTCGAATGAGTTCCGGGCAATAGAAGTGTATCACAGCCAGCAGAGCCGTGCCGTCACACACGTCCTTCAGCAGGTCGTCCAGCAGAGGGAAGTGCTGAAGTGCCCGACCGGACAGGTGATCTCTGCGGTAACGTACCTGCGCAGAGGAGAGGGCGCGACATTAAACACAGCAAACCAGCGTCTCTACTCACAAACAGTCACGTGCTCTCACACACACCCACACACAACATTTCTCACTTTGTATATTTTTCTCTGACTGTCTTTAGCACGTCATCATGCTTGATGACCTTTTACCAGATGAGCAGAGCTTTCAGAGAGCCATGTGCACCATGTGGTACAATAAAGGGTGCCTTTGCGCATGAGGACTTGCGAGGATGTTAAGCACGTTCAGGTATAATAATATAACTAAGATCAGTGGGGGATTTTGTTAATGAGTGAAGTGATTCACGAAAAACAAGTGAAAAAACATCAAGGTGAGGATAAAACAATGAAACGGGTTAATGGTGAATACATTACCATGTTAAAGAATTCCATAGGCTCCCATGAGCAGCTAGCCAGTTCATGCAATATATCAGGCTGGTGATGGAAGAAAGAAATGGTTTGAAGGAGGGTAATGCAATGAAAAGAGGCACGCTGTGACTGGATGAGTGGACTTCAGATAGTTTGCCTCATGGGAACAGTTAGTTAGAACTTTGCTTCGACGGATGAAAACAGAACAGAAACTGTAGGAATGTGCTGTGGCATGTGGACGTTTTGAGAGGCGGGAGGTGAAAGCTTCTTCAGGATTTCATGGAAAGCACAAAAACAACACGAGCAGGGAAAAGAAAAAGTGTCTCAGGTCCGTTGCGGTTTCTTCCGTTGCCACCGAGGGGCGCTGTGTCATCTTCACTGTCATCAACACTATTCATACATCGCCGCATTAGCGCCTGCTCGTTCCGTCTGACACTGATACACACGCGTCTCAGACAGACATACAAACGTTCACACGAATGCGGTGGCACTTACAGGTACCAGCTTCCAGTACCATTTGGAGGGAGACTAGCATCCAAGAGCCAGGAAAAGGGGGGACGTTTGGGGAGACACAAAGAGGAAGAGCAGCAGACAGGTCAAGGGTCATGTACAATGACAAGACATCAGATTATCCCCCGTTACCATGGAGACTGATCTGATCTTAAAGACAACCGGAAAGGGAGACCCCCTAGAGGTGTTTGTGTGTATTGTAATTGTGTTCTTTACACGTTAATGGAACCCTATCAGCCCCAAAAGATCACTGGGCTTTTCAACGATACGCCCGTTCTGACTGATCGATGGGAACCAAAGCGTGTCAAGTGCAGTGGTTTGCAATTTGTGAGACGTGTCTCCCGAGAGAGGCGTGGGACAGTTCAAAATATGAATACACACAGACATCCAAAGTAATCTAAAGTGTCCTGTAACCACACAGGAAAACAGGAACATCATTTAAATGCAGCTGATTTAGCAAAAAGTCCAAAAGCAGAAGGCTTGAGTTGCCCGTATATCTACGCTATGGCGTGTTGGGTTTCAATCTGTATCAGAAAATGATTTGAGGGGCTCATCAGATCTCAACGCAGACAAGATCCAATGAATAACCCTACACACACAACGGTCAATGCACCCAGTGAGGAAAGGACACATGCAACTATAAACTCAAACAATCAACAAAGGCAGCAAAGTCACCCAAGAAAGACGCTATTGAACAGAGAGGAAGCTTTTCTTTCTGAAGCAGTGAGAGAAAGAGACACACACGCTGTTACCTTCTGGTGGCTGGGGGACTCCAGCAAATGCTGCTTCATCTTCAGCTCTTTTTCCACGATCTCCCTCATCTTTATGTTCACCTGTAACGACAAAAGGTACCGTGGCTCAGCGCAGGTAGAAGAAGGGCCAAATGCCAAACCCTGACACCCACGTCTGGTTTTTACCTTGTTGATCCAAAAGACCATTGCGTCTTCCAGGTCGAAAGGCAAGTCCTTGGAGGCACTGAAGTTGGAAAAACGCTTGACACTGGACACCACCTTCTCTATGCTGATCATCTCCACTATATAGGCCATCATCAGGGCATCAATGAGGTGGACGTGGGAGCTCTGGAAGAATACAGATTTAGCTGATTATATCGCATTTTTAATAGCAGCACACGTGTGCTTTTCTCTGGAAAGAAATAGATAATTTTACAATCACAAGAGGTAAGAGATGCTCCATCGCGGAGTTGCCATGGAAACAGGGCAGACATGTGTTACTGGAACAAGCAGAGTTCATACAGCAGAAAAAAGGTCATTTTATTTGATGTCTCAAAGAAAGAATATTTTTTATTTAATGGTGTTCCCTGCGTCTCTTTAAAATGAACATTTGTTACCGAGGGCAAGGATTACTCGCACAAATTGACACGTAAACTGCTGCTTTACAGCCAGCGTCCTTCCTTTTGTGCTTTCACACCTGTGGGACATGACCAATAGTTCACAAGAGTGGGCTCATAGTAAATGAGAAACGTTGAAGAATTTTGCCTCATGAATACTTTCGCCAAACCCTCTAAAACGTGTAAAACATCCACTGGTGCATTATTCATTCCAATTCTGCTGGCTCACGTTCACCTCTGGAAAGCAACGTCACACTAGCTTCCTGCCAGATGGAAGCGTGGGATGTCAGTCCACTACGTTAGACTACTGCAGAGAACCCTGATTGACATAACAGTGAACCTTTTGTGACCTACTAATTATTAAATTAGTAGCACTCGATCATCTTTTTTTTGTTTTATATAGCGAATGAGTTCTGAAACTACTTTTACACAGCATTCATTTGGAGGTGTGTCTGACCACCTGATGGCTGAGGGTTCAATATTCACTCTCCTTCTATCTTTGCTCGGCCTCCTCGATCCCTTAAGGGGGATTTATGATGGCAGGAAAAATAAAATGTCGGTCGAGAAACCAGACTGTGTGGCTAAGCATACCCACCATCTTGAAGGGAGTCGAGCTGAGGTCCAGATCGGAGACGGGCGTGTCGTCTGTCTCCAGGACGTAGAGGCCTTTCCTGGACAGGGCCTGGATGACAGACTGGTGGCTTTGGAGGGAGGCGGCCTGCTCAGCGTGCAGGATGAGCCCACACACCCGGCAGTAGAGCTCTCCAGACAGCAGCAGGCGGATGATGGGGGGCTTGATGTGCTCCTGGTCGTACTGGTCTGTGTAGAAGGGGTTGTGCAGGTCCGTGGGGATGTGATCTGGAAAGAATGACCAGCATGCACGTGTCATTAAACGAATGTCTACTTGATCAGACGGTGAGGGTTAGCCGGGGGATCTCTTTTACCTGTTCACAAATCATACCGTGCATGCACACTATAATATTTGTATGGGAACAGAGAGTCTTTCTAGGGCTCTGGCTTTTAAGGTATTAGACCGTCTAATACAAACCAATGCGAGAGGAGCGCACTGAGACAAAGGCAGTGGTCAAACAGCATGACCAGCAGAGCTCCGGAGGCCCAAAGGTGGAGCAAAGGCTTAAAGCCAATTAGCTATCGGGATTAAGTGGTGCTACTTAAGCTGGTGGTGTTGTCCCAGCCAGAGCGGCGGTTTCACGCTCATTGACGTGGACACAGAGGAGCTATTTTTGTACAGCGCCTGCCTCGGACACGTTAATCCAGAGTTAAGGCCTGAAGCGCACACAAAATGTGGCTTCCAGCACTTTCAAGTTCCACTCAGGAGGAAGGAATCAACATGGAGGCTGTTGTCCGGTAGAGTTAGCGGCTTGTTTGACTTGGTAAACATCGACTAATGGTTTCACTGTGAAAATAAGTCTTTGGCGACATCTTAAATTCCTGTCTGATGGTCTTACTGACATTGTTGTCGTTGTGTCTCTCAGAGGTCTAAAGATCTTGGCAATGATAATCGTGAATTGTATCCTAAATAATAAGAAAGTGAGGCTACGGCTATAATGCATGGATCAATATTGAACCACTTAACAGCAGCATTTCTTCACTTAGAAGCCCGCTGACCGAGGCAAACGAGCAAAAACACAACATCAGTGGAAAACACACACACACACACACAGCAGGGCTCCAGCTCGCTGTCTCTTTCACAACAGACTGCTTGCTTGGCACAGCCTGCGCACAGTATCGTGTCGCGCTGCCATGTGGACTCGAGAATACTCCACCCCGTCAGAGAACGCTCCCGTTATACCTCCACCCGGGTCTGCGTTGACTTCATTGATTCATCCGCGTTTCTCTCAACGAGAGCAGAATCTCGCACCTCAGCTGTCCCTGTAAGCACAATCAACTCCGTGGTTGCCGTGGAGATGGTGATGGGGGAATGGCAGCGTGGCTGTAGGTGGGGGGCTGGGTTGCAGTCTCATCCCATCACCCGGGCCTGTTCATTGAATCGTTTTATGGACCCTGACAGCAGCGGGTCTGCGGGGCGGGGAACTGGAGGAGGAGCGACTGTGCTAATCGTAGATGCTAATAGTCCTCAGATATTCATCATCCACCTGATCCAGCCTGGTGTGCATGTGTGTGTGTGTGTGTGGGGCCCTTTGTTCACGGTTTTTTCAGACACAAGGTCAGATTGATCAGCAGAGACCTTGCAGACTCCGGGCTCTTCGAGGGGGAAAGACGCTATTTATCTGCTATAAGACGGCTGATTGGACAATCCTCACCCAATGAAAAAACAACATGGTAACCCTGGTTTCATTCTTGGCCGGTATGAAAGCTGCCACGAGTCTCGAAAAACAAGAGCGTGTTGGACAAAGACAAACAGGCCTTCAGGTCCAATCCCATTAACCAGTGAAACATGTGACTGGCTATGCCGACCGTCGCACACGCAGACTACGCGGTCCTCCCAGCGCCACTGCGTCGGTCCGTTTGCCCTCTAATCTAATAATACTGTTTTGGCTGCTCTGACCTCCACACTGACTGTCAATGACCCCGGACTGGATCAAAAGGTCGAACAAACAGACGCTCTGTACATCAACGTGACGCATTCTTTCACAACATTCAAACAACACCGATACATTTTGGGGCTGTGTATTTTTTATTTGATGTATTATTTTTACGTTTACTTATTATTCTGACTGAATGCCGCCATAATTCACCGATTACATATTCATACGCTCAGTTAGCTGTTCAAAACAATTCATTCCTGCCATATGTCAGCAAGACGCGAGAGAGCAAAACCCAAAAGGTTGCGGCATTAAAACAATGGCTCAATTCTACACACCTCTTCACCATCGGCGTCCATATTAAGCGGAACCCGTATCAGAAAATAATGCTGTTTATTTGTTACTTTCAGAACGAAATTCAGTGGTTCAACTACCAATCATATTCATTCAGTCATCAAAGTTCAAAAGTAAATGCAGCATCTCTACCACGTGAACTAGTTGACGACAGTGACAACGGTCAAACCGCCACATGCCGGCATCGTGCATTCCGTGTAAAAAGAAGTTAACGCAGCGCAGTCGGTGCAATAAATCCGTCCCTCGCTCAAAATGAGACACAATGGGGCGCCAGGACGAGGCCAATCAGATTAGGGGAAGAAGGAGGCTTTGAAAGGGGGAAAGGTGATGGTTTGGTGCTTATTATGGGCTTCTGATCTCCAGCTTGTTGGGTAACAGGGAGGTGAAGCTTTAACCCGCCAGGCAGAGCTCACCATACTTCCAACGCCGGCACTAATGTAGGATATCAGTGGGGTTTCAGCTCCGCTTTGTAAGATAACGCGTGTCTCTGAATGTCTATTATTCACGTATACGTAACATGTTTAATTACCCTTCCTTTATATTCTCTCACCATCCTCCCTGATCGCTGTGTATGAACCGCGCTGCACATTGCAAGCAAGCTTTCAGTTTCATGGTTATGTTCCCCTCCCACAGTCGAGATTTACCGAGTCATCCCCCCGCAACAACAAGAAACAGCCCTGCCAGGCAGCGAACACAAGTATGTTGTCCTTTAATGAATGAATGTCCCTGCGTCTCCTGCCAAAGTCCTCACTGTCACACCGACTCAATGGAATCACGTAGACGAGTCGGCTCGCGGGAACAGTTCAGATCCCCTCCTGCTCGGACCAGTGACACAGAAACCCACATTCAACGAGTCCTTCGCAGACATTTACTTACAGCCATGTAGAGGAATCGTTTTTAATGTTTTAGTAGACCTCGTCAGAGCAGGCAAAGGCTGGTGACCCGTGTGTAAAAGGCTTATCGTGAGATGTGGGTTTATGCCTTCAGTCTAGCGTGTAGGTTTCGGACCGTCGCCATGCTGCCGTCTTTTTATTAGGATGTTTTGGGGCATTTTTACAGTAAAAAGAACGACTTATCAAGCAATTATAAAGCCAAATGATGTTCAATAACTTTGTGAACATGTATAAATAGAATTGCGATCACTTTGTAAAGCGTTGCATGATTTATAGCCCAAATGTGTGTCGTCTTTTTGGACTGAATACTAATCAAAATATTGTCATTATTCTTACATCCAACTGCCGTAATACATTTAGTTGGTGTTTTATCGCAGAGGACGGCCTATTTCCTTGTTGCTTTAACCTCTGGATAGATCTTTAGTATACCAGCTAGTAATACCCAAATTCAGCAATCAGTGCGCTATAATGATTTTTTTCATGAATTGCTTTTTCACTTCATGACTTTGGTTCACAAAATGTCCTTTGCCATGTCCTAAAACCTTTTAAACGTCTTTTATCCAAATCCTGGATTTGTGTCCCCCCCTCCCCTTGTGTTTACTATCACAGTGTTTCTCCTTCCTGTAGTAAACCTTTCGTTTGCTCTCCAGGAGAACACGCCAGCAATGGAAATGCTGCAATTGTTCCATCTCCATTAGCACAGTTTACCGTCTACTTTGCCCAAGTGACATTCTTTACGTATGAGGGAACCAGTCCAGGCCTACAAGGCGACACTGATTGACCCCCAATCAGAGAATAAACATAAGGACAACGCAGCTATCAAAGCCTCACCTGTACCGTACGCTTTGGCGAACAACCAGCGGAGGTTTGCCTCAATTTTGGCCCTGGCAGAGTCGTAGAGCTCCAGCGGTACGACCTGAGCCTCCATGCTTCCTCCACCCGCATCATCTGCTGCTGCTGCTGCTGCTGGTGGTGCTGCTCTCCTCCGGGTGCTGTCCCTGCCAGCACTCACCTCCACCTCCATCCTGCACGCAGAGAGACAACGGAGACATCACGGTCAAGAGAAGAAGCCCCTCTTCTGCGTTACGTCATTGATGTGAAGAACAACAAGCGAGAAGGGGGGGGGGCGCGCGCCTCACTGACAGCACCTGCTCCTACTGATGAAGACGATGATGGTGAAATACTACCTCGACGTGACGTCACGACCATATGTACCTTCGAATGCTAAGAAGAAACACACATTTGGCTCGCGCCCGGTGACGGTGTCAGGCGGGGACAGTAAAAAAAAAAAGGAAGGCAGCACTTCTTTTGACACGAATGAGACCTGTTTGATGCTCAGCTGCCGTAAAAATGAAGACGAACAAAAAAGGACATTAGCACCTTCGGCGGCGGTAGGTTTCCTCTCGAGGCGGGACCGGGGTGACCAGCGGGTGACCCGACACCAACCCGAGCCCCTTTGAGTTCAGTCGGCCGTTAGCTAGCTAAGCTAGCTTAACTGCGCGCACGCACACACACACACAACAAAAGACCCACCTTTAAGACGGCATCGGGTCGCTCTGTGAGGCTTCGTGTTGGAGACGTGGTTGTTAAAGCGCCGACATGCCGGCCTGGCTTCGTGTTCCGCGGTGAGGACAAGGAGACGGACTCCTCCCTGCCGACGGGACACGATCCTCCGGGCCTCTCAGGGATAAAGCCGCGCGCCCGACGCCCGTTAATCCAATAATGCAAAAAATCTGTTTGGCGATCGTCCGCGAGTCGGTTTTCGAGGGAATTACTGGAATGTCCCAGAAGCCGGCCGTTTCACATGGAGGCTGTCATCGCCTCTGAAGGGAGGACCGGCGGTCCTGACGGGGGGGGCGAGGGAGGGAGGGGGGGCGTCCGGGTAGCCCTGTTGTAGGAGCCTGTCTCTATGGGGACGAGCGTTATCCTCCCGGCCGCTCGCCTGCAGCGCGCCTGTCCGCCGGCGGGGGGCGCTGTGGGCCCGCAGCGAGACGAAGAGCACCGGTGCGATAATGATCCGAAGTGATGTTAACGTTACTATGTTTGTAATAAAAGGTCAAAGTTCACACATATACATAAGACCAATTGCACTTTCACCTTCGTCTACCGCAATTTAAAGATTTCTGCTCAGCAGCATGGACAGCGGTAAACTCAGCCGACCGGTTTAATTAAAAACTGGATAAAAGTATTCAGAATAAGTATGAGTATGAATGCATGTAAATATGTCTTTGAGGCTCCATGTGTAGAATTAATGATATTTTCTAAAACAGTATTATATATATATATATATATATATATATATATATATTTATTTATATATTAGTTCTGCCTTCTTCCAAGGATCCAGCATTTGTTTTAACAGATTGTGTAGGCAAAGGACACCATAACCAGCCCGTTAGTGTTAAAGGTACATTTGTGGATGTTGAAGATAACATCCACAAATGTACTAATGTCTAAAATGTCTTTCAACTAACTGAAATGATTTCAATAGGAGTAACATTGTTCTATGGTACTATGGTACCATCAGGCTGTCCCCACCGGAGGGCATTGCAGACCAGCGTCTGTGGCCATTAAGTGAGATTACTTTTCATATTAATGTAATAAATGTGGCACACATTACGTATGAGGCAGCTACATATCTTAAGAGTTTGACGGTAGCTTTTATTGAATCAAGACAATTTTTACAAAACATTTAAATCAGGAAATACTTCTTTGAGAACTACAACTTTGCATGAACATGGATTTTGAATTACATCTTTTTTTTAAAGCATATTTTATCTCTGAATTAGTTTATAAAACATGACATTCATACATCTTGAACTACACAAAGTACAGATGATGTCATTTAACACACAAACAAAGGTCCCCATTTCTTTCACAAACAACAATCTCCCCCTCCAAGACATTTCTTTAAAAAGAAATCTGACAAATACATTGATTTTCTTAGGAAAAACCATATTCACACTGGAACTATCGCAAATGTGATATTTCAACGTTTCTACAACGGGTCTGCAATTTAACACATAACAGGTTAAACCAAGTAACCATAATCACTGATTTGGAATACGATCTGAAAATCAGAAACGTTTCTTGTTTCACAAAGTATCACAAATCAATTACTCAACAACAGCCAAGACCATTATTCAATGGAAAAATGGGCTCCGGTTGATTGAGATGCAGCGTCACTCCTTTCGCAAAGCATCTCTCAACTCATATTAGGGATATTTGTTCTGTGCTTTAAGGTCTCTGTTTCCTTCGCTCAGTTACTCTCATTTTGCCACTAAGGCACAGTGTAGGAAGCAACATCATGAAAGGTGTGTCTTTTATATATATATATTTAATCGTCCTCTAACAGACTCAGTGATAAGACTCGGTGAAATTTAGTTCAGTAACAAAACCTGGGTCATTTAACAAGACAAAGGAAATATAATTAATACTGAACATTTTAAAATAATCTATAAACGTTAAAAACAAAATATGTACAAACATAAAACAATGCAAAGCCCAAAAATAACAATTTGTGAAGACCAAAGTAGTAAATTAAATCCAGTGAATATAGCAACAGAAAATACAAATAAATAGCCAGTGTACACATTTTAGTCTTATGTCTGATACACTCCTTTAAAAGAGTTTCTAATCTTCCGATAGATAACAGAAGAAAAAAATAAAAAAGCATAAATATAAAAGCATCTTCTTTATATTTCAGGTCAAAAAAGCACATAAATAAATACAAAATACCTAAAACTGTTTTAAACGTTAGTATCAAAACTGATAATAAAAAAGGAGCATCTTCAGTCTTTGCCACAGGTTGGCCACTCTCTCTCTCTATGAACTTTCTTTGTATATATTTTCTTCCCACTAAAAAGTTCTTTCCGTTTTTTACAAGTCTCTACTTAAACTGGTCTGGAATCAGATTCATCTGCGAGTGGATACTTGTAGGCGGGCTTGAGATGCCTTCCGACCAATCGGACATGTTGGAATGTGGGGACGAGCTGGACCATTGGTCGGGGGAGCCGGGGGAGGGGGTTAGAAACGGGTGGTCAGGTACCTGTAGCTGGTGGTTGGGTGTGTTGTCCATGGGGCCAGAATAGCTGTGCTGTGAGGGAGGAGTGAGGAACTGGTTGCCGAGGATCTGCGTCTCCTGCGGCATGACGGTGTGGATGGGCATGGAGCGCCCGTTGTTCTGCTGCATGTCTGAGCCGTTCAGCTCAACGCTCGGGAAGCTCTGGCTGAGGGACTGGCCGGCTGTGGTGGAGTTAGAGTTCTGGTGCTGGAGCTGCCGGGAATGAGCCTGCTGCATCATGTGTGCAGACGAACCGAGGTGGCTCGTCTGCAGATTCTGGTAGCCCATGATCTGAGACAGGGTGGCAGTGCTGACGCCATGCAGAGCCCCCATCATGCCGTGGGATAGGGTTGACCCCTGGGTGAAGCCCCCTTGCTGGCCTACACCTGGGTGCATCCTGGAGATCCAGTCACACTGGCCTCCTCTGCTGCCGCCTATGGATGTCGTGCCCTGAGTGCCGGGGCTGGACACAGGCATGTGGGAGAGACGGGGAGGGTTGTGGTCAAAAGACATACAGCCCATATCCTTACCCATACTCATCTGGCCCATATGGTCTCCATTGCCTTGCAGGTGATTCAGAGACATGGGCGGCGGCGACTGCTGGAAGGGTGATGTCATGGGAGGAGAGGCCACATCGGACAGGTAGCCGTGCGGTGACTCGAGGGAATCAACCGGCGAGAGGACACCTGACGAGTCGAGCAAGTTGCCCTTTCCATCCAGGGACTTCTTCTTCTTCATCCGATTATCTTTGCCTCCGTCCTTCCCTCCTTTGCCGCCGGAGCTGAGTTTGCGAACCTTCTTGACGGACAGCATGGGCTTGAGGTTGCTAAGGTAGTCATTGGGGGAGCAGAGAGGTGGCGAGAGGCTGGAGGCGCTAAGTGGGCCGCTGTGAAGCCCGGGACTCCTGACCACGTTGTACTCATCCAGAAGGCGGACGATGTCATGGTGCATGCGTTCCTGTGCGATGTCTCTGGGCAGCTGGTCGAGATGGTCGGTGATCTCACGATTGGCAAAATGTTCCAGAAGAACCTTGGCTGTTTCGAAGCTTCCTTCCCGGGCTGCAAGGAAAACTGGTGTCTCCTCCTAAAAAGCAAGAAAAAAAAACCCAGTTAATACACAACTGTGAATGCAAAAGTGTCGATACCTCCAATATAGCACCATCACAGTCACATCTCAAATACCTTGTTGTCTTGCATGTCTTTGTTGGCACCATTTTTCAGCAGCACCATAGCCGCCTCCACATTGTTTACCGCCGCAGCCCAGTGAAGAGCGGATTTACCTGCAGAGAGAGCAATCAGGGTGGCGGTTGATTATCATAACATCTCAGCACACTGAGAGGGATCCGCAGTCTTTACGGACTGCGGAAGATGAAAGGTCAATAAAACGTTAGCTACCAGAATCATCGGTGGCGTTGGCATCCGCGTGGCAGTTGATAAGCTCTTCCACCATCCCCTCAACCGCCAATCGGGCCGCCAGGATGAGCGGTGTGGTTCCGTCGTGCATGCGGGCGTCGAGATCAGTGGCGCGGTTCCGGATTAAAATCTGCAAGGACATAGACGCGTTTAGTCGGGTGCTTTTTAAGCCGCAGGACAAACTTGTTTGAAGAAAAAAATGAAAGCCAGAAGAGAGATAAAGCCTCGGGTGGAGGAACAGGTTACCTGGAACACTCCCTGCGCATCTGCAGCGACAGCAGCGTGGAGAGGAGTGCGACCCATGTTGTCCTGAACGTTGGCGTCGGCGCTGGACTCCAGAAGGCGTTTCGCAGCATCGGAGCGGGCGTAGCGGGCGGCCAGGTGGAGGGCGGTCTCGCCTGTGCGGTCAGTCTGGTTGTGGAGGTTGGCGCCTTGGTAAATAAAGTCTGAGATGATTTCTGCTGAGGGATCTTCTTCCTCTTCGATGTTAGCGGTCTCCAGGCCTCCACCGCTGCAGGATGCGATCATCAGGGGAGTGAAACCATCTGAAGGAGGAAGATTATAATGAGTTCCCGTCATGTGTTTGAAAGCGTTCGTGCAATATTGAAAAATCACTTCAGGGTTGTACAGACCTGGTCCCCTGACATTCACATCCATGCAGTCATTCTCTATCTCTCCCTGAGGAGGCGTAGGAGCAATGGACGCAATGCGCAGGTCAGCTGCATCCAGATGTTGCTGCGTCCATTTCCTGTGGTCGGTACGGTCGCTCAAATCCAGCATGGCCTGCTCCTCAAACTGAAACACACGCCAATCATCGTAACGTCAGTATGAGCAGCACATGGGAAGACTTTTGAGAATCGTAAAAACAGAGTTTATTTAGAGAAGACGATTGCTTTTCTCTTACCCTGAAGCGTCTGCAGTCTGGATCCTGATCATCCCATTCGTTTTGATTGTCATCCATAAGATTGATGTCAGAGTTTTTCATAGGCCTGTTTGAAAAAGGAGCCGGGTTAATTACATGACATTAACTACAAAAAATAACATGATAAAGGACACTGCTGTCAGTCAAGGCTATGAAAACACAGCTAGGTAGACTTTACGTCACATCGGCCTCCATATTCCACCTTACCCTAATCCCACAGAATCTTCTCCCAACGGCTCTCTGCGTTTCTTTTTGCTGGGCTCGGACGCTTTGAAACCTTCGGGAAACCAGAGCTGGCCGTGCTCTCGTCGCCTCTTGCGAGACACCAGAACACCAAGGCAGATGAAACCCAACGCGGCCAAACCCAGGAAGACCACGTACATGGGATACAGCTCTGAAGTGGTGGGAGTAGGTCTCACACCTGGAAAGAAGTCAAAGTGACGATGTTACTAATAACCTGGTGACTTGGATTTAAATGTTA